AACGGTCCCCTCGGAACGGTCCCCTCGGAACGGTCCCCTTGGAATGGTCCCCTCTTAACGGTCCCCTCAGAACGGTCCTGGGGTCGGCGCTGCTCTGTAACGGGCCCCGGCTCCAGCAGCACCGCTCGCTGCTCTGTTCGGCACGGTCTCAGCTGCAGCCATGGGCGCTGCCATAAAGCCAGCATCCCCCCCTGCTGCCACCCCCGAGCCCGGGTGGGGCGGCGCCGCTGCTGCACCGTTCCCCCCAAGGGCTCTCCCTCCCCCCCATCCCACCTGGCCAACGTACATCCCCCCTCGCACCACTCAGTTGGTGGGGGGGCTGGGGTTGAAGGGGGGGGTTGAGAGGAAAGGAGTGAGGGAGGGGGGAGTCCACTCTCCTGGGTGCATTTGCCTTTCTGTAGTGCATATTTAAAGCTATCATATTGTCCTTCCAGGTAGCTAAATTCTTGAGGGCGTCTGTTTTTCCTTCACTGACCTTTTCGATAATCTTGTTCCCTATTTTCCTCCAAGATGACACTTGATAAGGTCTAGTTAGAGGTAATGCAGGTTCATGCAACAAAATCCAATATAACAAGTCCCATAACTTACTTTCTTCTATGGTTATGCTCTCTTCTTGTAAAAGTCGAGAGATAGCTTCAGCTGTTTGTTTGATTTTGGAGTAATTCCCTCCTGACGGGTAAACCACCCTCCCATATTCGCCAATTTTTGGTTACCTCTGTGCTGAAGCTCTGTTGTCCTTTCTTCTGGTCCTTTTTTCTTCCTTTTTTGTTCCTTTTTGCAGAGGTAACCCAGGGCGCTGAATTCTTTCTTTTCTTCCTTTTGGTTTTGGTGATATGGACACCCCCGGACGGGTTCCCCAGAGCTGCTGCTCCTGGTTGCCGGTAACCCGCTGAAGTCCCTTATTGGACGGCCATTTGAGGTGTTGTTCAAGGCACGAACCCCACTCAGACACAAATGAGTGCCAGAGCAGAATTACCATTTATTCAAACTGCTTAGGTTTAAATACCACGCCTGAACATGTCACGTGACCTTCTAACCAATGACAATCAAGTATTGTCTGAGAACCCTGGAGACTACAACTCCCATGGTTCCTTGTTACATACTTCCTGCCACAGGTCGGAGCCGGTCGGGCACAGAGACCCCAAAATGCTGGAGTTTTCCTTTCTGGGTGGAGGAAGGAGGGGGCAGCAGAACTGACACCTTGGACTGACAGCAGGCAGACTTTGGCCTGTTTGGGAGAATGATTGCTGGAGTCCCTTGGGAGTCAATCCTGAAGGGCAAAGGAGTCCAGGAAGGCTGGAGGTGCTTAAAGAAGGAAATCTCAAAGCTCCAGGAGCTGTGCCCATGTGCCCTAAGACAAGCCAGGGGGCAAAAAGCACAACTGGATTAAACAGAGAACTTAGACTGGAACTCAGGGAAAAAAGAGAGTTTATCAACCCTGGAAGGAGGGGTAGGAAACTTGGGGGGACTACAAGGATGTGGTGAGGTTATGTAGGGAGAAAATTCAAAGGGGAAAGGGCAAAGCAGAACAGAATTTGGCCATTGCACTTAAAGACAGCAAAAAAATGTGTCTCTGAATCCATGGGCAGCAAAAGGAGGGCTCAGGAGAGTCTCCATCCCTTGCTGGGTGGAGAGGGCAACCCAGTGTCAGGGGAGGAGGAAAAGGCTGAGGGACTTCTTGCCTCCTTTACCTCAGTCTGTACTTCTAAACCCACTTGTCCTCAGGATCCCCAGAGCCCAGGACTGGAAGCTGGTGATGGGGAGCTGAGTGAAGCCCCTGTAATCCAGTAGGAACTGCTCAGTGACCTGCCCTGCCAATGACACCCCCACAAGGCCCTGGGCCCAGAAGGGATGCACCCGAGAGCCCCATCCCATGGCACGGGCAGGACATCCAGGGGATCAGGCCCAGCCAGTGTGGGGTTGGGAAAGGCAGGTCCTGCCTGACCAACCTGGTCTCCTCCTATGACAAAATGACCCCCTCAGTAGCTGAGGGAAAGACTGGGGATGTGTCTCTTCCGACTTCAGGAAAGCCTTTGAGCCCATCTCCCCCAGCATCTCCTGCACAAACTGGCTGCTCATGGCTTGCCCGGGGAACTGTTTGCTGGGTGACAAAGTGGTTGATGGCTCAGAGAGTGGTGGGGGATGGAACTAAATCCAACTGGGGCTGGTCACTAGTGGGGTTCCCAAGGGCTCAGGGCTGGGGCTGCTCCTGTTTAACATCGTTCTTGGTGATCTGGATGGGGGGATCAAGTGCCCCCTCAGTACCTTTGTTGATACCATGAAGTTGAGTGTGATTGTGGATGTGCTGGGGGGCAGGAAGGTTCTGCAGAGGTATCTGGACAGGCTGGATCAATAAGCCCAAGTGTCAGGCTCTGCACTTGGGTCCCAACAACCCCCTGGAACGCTCCAGGCTGGGGGCAGAGGGGCTGGAGAGCTGCTCAGTAGGAAGGGACTTGGGGGTGCTGCTTGACAGTGGCTGGATATGAGGCAGAGTGTGCCCAGGGGGGTAAGAAGGTCAAGGGCATCGTGGCCTTTGTGGAGAAGAGTGTGGCCAGCAGGAGCAGAGAACTGATTGCCCCTCTGTGCTGGGCACTGGGGAGGCCCCACCTCGAGTGCTGTGCCCAGTTCTGACCCCTCAGTGCAAAAAGGCCCTTGAGGGGCTGGAGCGTGTCCAGAGAAGGGAACGGAGCTGGGGAAGGCTCTGGAAAACATGTCTGCTGAGGGACGGCTGAGGGAACTGGGCTGGTTGAGTCTGGAGAAGGGGAGGCTCAGGGGGGACCTCATTGCTCTCTGCAATGACCTGAAAGGAGGTTTTAGTGGGGTGGGGGTTGGTCTCTTCTGCCAAGGCTCTAGTGAAAGGTTGTGAGGGAATGGCCTTAAATTGCATTGGGCAAGGTTCATATTAGATATTAAAGAACCCTTTTTCCACTGAGAGAGTGTTCAGACAGTGGAACAAGTAGCCCAGGGAGGTGGTGGAGTCTCTGGAAGTGTTCAGGTGTGTGGTGGGTTGACTTTGACTGGACACCAGGTGCCCTCCCAGCCGCTCTATCACTCCCCTTCCCAGCAGGACAGGGAAGAGAGTAAGGTGGAAAAAAAAATAGTGGGTTGAGATAAGGCAGTTTATTTAAAGCAAAAAGCAAAGTGATGCTTTCGTGCGCAGAAGCCAAAGATAGCAGGGTTTGTTCTCTGCTTCCCATGAACAGCCATGGTCAGCCACTCCCGAGGAGCAGGGCTTGGGGACGTGGGACAGTTCCTCAGCAGGCAGCGATTAGACAATGAATGCCCCCCTCCTGCTCCGGGCCTCAACTTTTAGAGCTGAGCTGACCTCCCAGGGTCTGCAATGTCCCTTGGGTCAGTTGGGCTCAGCTGGCCTACTTGTGTCCCCTGTCAGGGTCTTACCCTCAGCTAAGGAAGGAATGTCCCAGTGTTGGTGCTGTGCTCAGCAGTGGTTAAAACACTGGGGTGTTCTCAATACCCTTCCAGCTGCCAATGCCAAGCCCAGCCCTGGGAGGGCTGCTGTGGGGAACTGAACTGCAGCTCAGCCAGACCCAACACTAATATCTATAGCACATATCCTATAGAATCCATCCTTAGGTGTTGTATGATAGATCTATAAGGTATTGCAAATAAGAAGTAATAATAAGGCAAGTGTCCTCCTCAGGGACACCTTCCCCCCCAAAACTACTGCCTGGGTTTGTTCCCTGGGGGTCTCTGCAGCAGCAAGCACAGCCCCACACTGACTGCTCTGGGCTGTGCAGGCATTTGTGGTTCTGCCTGTCTCACACCCCCCCAACCTTGGGATGGATCTGGATGTCACTGGATGTGATGTCACAGGGGAGATGTGATGTCATATGATGGATGGGACATCATAGAGGAGCTTTGATGTCCCAACAAGGATGTGATATCACAAGGAAGATGTGATGTCAGAACAGGGATGTGATGTCACAGGGATGATGTGATGTCACAGGGGCGGACGCGACGTCAAAGGGATTATATGATATTACAGGAGAGTTGTGATGTCATATGATGGATGTGACGTCATAGAGGAGATGTGATGTCACAGGAAGGATGTGTTGTCACAGGAGGTATTGTAATGTCATGGGGTGGACGTGATGTCACAAGGGAGATGTGATGTCATATGATGGATGTGATGTCATGAGGGAGGTGTGATGTCACAGGAAGCGTGTGATGACATATGGGGGTTGTGATGTCATGGGGAGGATGTGATGTCACAGAGGAGGACGTGACATCATAGGGATGATATGATATCGGAGAGGTGTGATGTCATATGATGGTTGTGACATCACAGGGGTGATCTGATGTCATAGGGCAGATGTGATGTCATGGGAAGGTGTGATGTCATAAGGGAGATGTGATGTCACAGGAAGGATCTCATGTCGTATGATGGATGTGACATCATAGAGGAGCCTTGATGTCACAACAAGGATGTGATATCACAAGCGAAATGTGATGTCATATGATGAATGTGACGTCATAGGGGAGATGTGATGTCACAGGAAGGTTGTGATGACAGAGGGTGAATGTGATGTCATAGAAGATGTGTGATGTCACTGGGGAGGAGGTAATGTCATTGGTAGCTGTGATGTCATGGGGAGCTGTGATGTCACAGGGAGGATGTGTTGTCCTATCATGGATGCAATGTCATAGAGGAGATGTGATGTCACAGGAAAGATGTGATGTCACAAGAGATTTTGATGTCACAAGGAAGGATGTGATGTCACAAGGAAGGATGTGATGTCACAGAGGATCTGTGATGTCACAGGAGAGCTGTGACGTCACAGGGATGATATCATATCACAGGAGAGACATGATGTCATATGATGGATGTGACGTCATAGGGGAGCTGTTACAGACTTCCTGATGTTACAGGAAGTATCTGATGTCATGGGGCAGGTGTGATGTCAGAGGGATGCTATGATATCACAGGAGAGATGTGATGTCATGTGATGGTTGTGACCTCCTAGGGGCGATGTGATATCACAGGGCAGGTGTGATGTCACAGTGGAACTGTGACGTCACAGGGGAGATGTGATGTCATGGGATGGAAGTGATGTAAAAATGGTTGTGACGTCAGCTGTGATGTCGCGGGAGGCTATGATGTCATGGAGAGGTGTGATGTCACTATGAGATGTGATGTCATATGTTGAATGTGACATCATAGGTGAGATGTGATGTCACCGGAAGAATGTGATGTCATGAGGATGTGATGTCATAAGGCAGCTGGGATGTCACAGGGGAGGATGTGACGTCACAGGCAATATATGATATCATATGAGATGTGTGATGCCATATGATGGATGTGATGTCATAGAGGAGTTGTGATGTCACAGGAAGGATGTGATGTCATATGAGGGACGTGATGCCAACTGTGATGTCACAGGGGTCTGTGATGTCATGGGGAGATGTGATGTCACAGGGAGGATGTGATATCACAGGGCAGATGTGATGTAAAAGGGATGATATGGTATCACAGGAGAGATGTGACGTCATATGATGGATGTGATGTCAGTTGTGATGTCACGAGGGGAGGTGTGATGTCATAGGTATCACAGGAAGGGTGTGATGTCATATGGTGGTAATGACATCAAGATGTGATGTCACAGGGGAGGATGTGATGTCATAGGAGAGCTGTGATGTCAGGGGTAGGATATGATGTCACAGGGATGATGTATCACAGGAGATATGTGGATGTGATGTCACAGGGGAGGTGTGATGTGACAGGAAGGATGTGATGTCACAAAAGAGTTGTGATGTCTCAGGGGAGGACGTGATGTCACAGGCATGATATGAAATCACAGGAGATGTGTGACGTCATATGATGAATGTTATGCCATAAAGGAAATGTGATGTCATAGGGGAGATGTGATGTCACAGGAAGGATGTGATGTCACGGGGAGCATGTGATGTCATAGAGGAGTGACACAGTCCCCCCCAACCTTGTTCCAGCTAAAGCCGTGGAATTTGTCTTTCTTTCCCTTGGGATCAAGGTCTGGCTGTTTTATTTCCAGGGATGTCTAGAGATGAGTTAAGGGGAACTCAGACCTTTTGGGGAGGAAGGAGTTGTTTACTCTGGAGCATTTGAACTCAGCCTTTGTTCCTGGTTTCTTCCCACTGTTTCAGAGCACTTCATTTCCCAGGGTGAAAGCTCTGATTCCCCAACAAAATCAGGTTCTCCTGAGCTCAGGAGGTTTCACTGGTCTCATTTTTCTCCAGTATAAATTCTGTGCCAAAGTCTTGCTTCCAAGGTCAGTGAAATGTTAGAAGATAGAGAATCTCACCTGGATCTTGGACAGAACACTTATATTCTTCTTTATTCTATTGAATTCTTCCCTAATAGTTTTGGATGACAGGACACCCATGTGGAAAGTCCCTTTTCTGGTTTTCAGGACTTAAAAGAGATGCTTTTCTGATGTTGGTATTTATTGGAGTGTTATTGATTCAACTGCGCGGGGTCGGCCACGGGAACTTTGCTTTTCCCTTGGGGCACACGGAGGATTTGTCGCTGGGCGCACATGGACTCAGGAGAACTTTGCCTGCCAGAGTCGCTCTCCCTGCACTGCCAGGAAGAGCAGGTACCGCATCGCCCCGGCCGCAGCGGCGCAGAGGCTGCTCGGGAGGTGACAGTGTGCTAGAGGGAGACGCCCACTCGCTGTCCATACTGCCTGCACAGGGCAGGGCTGGGGGGCATTGAGCCAGGCAGGAAAAGTGAGTGGTGGCCATTGCACGGTGGTGAAATGATATGGGAGGTAGCAAACAGCCTGGCTGGGGGGAGCACAGTTTGGGAAGGGGGCGCAGGGAAAACCCACTGTGATGTTCTGGGGTAAATAACAGAAAATAAACAGAGGAGGGTGCCCTTTCAGATATGGTTTATAGATCAGTGCACTGTGTATAGTGTAAGATAGATTCAGAAATGTAAGAATGCAGTTTCTACAGCTTTTACTACAATTACACTTTTTTATAAAATATGTAAAGAGACGATAAGTTGGGTGTTAGGTTGGGATTTTTTTGGGTTTTTTTATTTTTTCTGTGTGGATGCTTTGTCTCCCCAACCTCCCCAAACGAGCTTTCTTGAATGTACCTTCTTACAGCTAATTTGAATGATTAGTTTAGAGAAGCCTCTTAGAGTAGATGCATTTCAATGAAATCAGGGCACATGTCTTTTTGACTCTGGTGCAAAATTCGAACTAATATTTTTCTTCTTCTTTGGCTCAATTAAAAGCCATCTTAAAACACTCTCAATATGCTGTGTGAGTGCAGGACTTGAGGCGTGTGGGATTGAATGGACACAGAGAGAGATCTAACATTCAGAAACATACCTGCTTCCCTGTCTCAATTAATAAACCCCAGAGTTTGACACTTTGACTTCAGATTCCCACAGAAAAAGTAGCAATGTGTATTCCTTGTGACACCTTGGTCACCCTAGAGCAAATAAAGATGCTGAGGAGTAAAAAGGAGCTCCAGTATGCTGGAGAATGCAGTTTGAAGAGAACGTTCCAGACTTCTCCATCATTGCTGCCCTAGTGACATCATACCAGATAAGAAAAGGAGTTGGGTAAATAGATAATTTCTTCTTTTTAATAATGGGTCCGTAGTGGGCCAGATTTCCTCTTTTTGCAGGAACCTGCCAGCAGATGAGATCAAACTGCGTGAGAGCGATAAAGCTTTCAATTGCTGTAATGGGCAGAAGAGATAACTGCCCCCACAAGTGCTTCTGTTATCAGTTTACAAGGATGCCATGAGAAAACGAAGCAGCAACAGGACTGGAGAGTTGTACTGTTCTTTGCAGCGCTGGTTTTGCATGTGTTTGTGTTTCTATCTTAATAACTTTGTGATATGCACGTCTGTGTGTATTTTTGTCTCAGTAGTTTTGCAATATGTAAAAGTTTGCCACAAACATTGTGTTTGTGTCTCCTCTAGTCCCAAAATTGCTTGTATGATCAGCTTATTAATAATTGTTGACTTATTTGTGTTTTTATCATGAGCAACTCACTGGTAAGATTGTGTAAGACAAGCCATTTCATGTATTGCTAGTTTAATTTTTTACCAAGTTTATTTTGTCTTTGTATTGAAAAACAAGTTGGCTTGGGAGAAGCTTTTAGATATGTATATTTCTGTCTCAATCAATTGAGAATCAAGAAACTCAATCAAATTTAGCCTGGGAGTTGATACAAGAGTTTATACATATTTGGAATCATACAAATATGTATTAGATGCATTAACCCTCTGCCTCAGAAGGCATCAAATTTTACATTTGGCTAAATTTCTCAAAATATTAACAAATGAAACTAAATCTAGACAAAACAAAAGAAAGTGTTATCTGAAGAGAATATAAGAAAGCCTTGTACCAGCTCCCAAGTAACTCAATGTATTTGCATATGAACTGATGTGTAATTTCAGGTCCAATTTCAAGACACATTGACCCCTCTAACAGACACATTATTACAGAATCCCTCACACTCCCTATGCATTAAAGGATACCCTGACTACTCACGGGGTGGAGACCGTGGCTAATGAAAATTAGATTTGTGTCAGTATTAAATCCTGATGTTTGTAACATCATTAATGTTAGGAAATTTGATTGTAGCTATTGGGATCCTGTTATGTCCCATATGCTTACTATTTTACTGTAAGATTTGGGTTTTTTGGAGGGAATTGCATTGCATTGGGAAAAGATTTGTGCTCTCTCTTGCTTTTCTTTACTCTTCTCTCTTTCTGTCCACTACACGAAAGGCACCGCCCACAAAGAAGATTCACAGTGAACGACCACAGAAGAGAAATTATTGAATGCATAAATCACGGGGTGGAGTCAGAGACTGAAACAGTTCATGATTTATGCATTCCAAGATTGCCAAGGGACTCTTGCAGGCTTCTGTAGGACTTTTGCATTAGACCTCTGATGGCCCATCAAAGCCCATCCCCCCCTCTGCCAATCCTGAAAGGCAGGAAAAACCCTTTTCCCAGGCCCCTCACGGGAACTCTGCTCAGGCCCAGGAGATGTTGGGGGTTCGTGGCATGGCCCAGGACACCATCCATGGATATAATAACTCATAACTTCTTGGAGTGTGGGGGCTTCCCTCCCCCACCCCCAATGGATCAAGGCCACCACTTCAACTGACAGACATGGAAGCTGCAACTCCCAAGTTCCATCTCTGGACCCCGTGGGTGGTGACTATAGACATCTTTCCACTCTCAGCTTTGCTTTCCCTTGCTCTCCCTTATCCTTATCCTGTCTTTCTTTCTCTCCCTTATGCATTTTCCCTAAAGGTTATCTTTATGCCATATTGCTGTAGATGAAAGATATAGATGATAACACCCAAAATGGCAACATACCTGTTTACCTTTGAAACAAAACTGCTCTAAAATAAACCCAGCTTGTATATATGTTTTCAAACACTCATTATTGTGTCATTTCACTCTAATCCACCTCAAGGGATTTATTAATAAGAACCTGGCTTCCCTTCCCCTTTCTGGGGTGGTGTACCAGGGTGAATTTATGCTGATACTTTTGGTCTGTGTTTGGCCCCGTCACCTGTGAAAGTTTTGCTCTTTCCCTGCCAAGTTATGGGAAAACAAGCACTGATAAATGGGAAAGTTGTCCTTGAAGAGAACTTCTTGTATAAAGTGGTTTAAGTGGTGTTGTGTGATTGGCTAATTGTCCTCCAAGGTTGCTTGAAGGAGAATTTGAGAAGAAGAAGGATGAAGTAGCACCCCCAAACTCAATTAACAAAGACCCTCAAAGCATACTGCGCATGCATGAGGGGATTTCCGAAGTTCTCATGCGTGCGCAGAAGAGATGCACTGACATAACCGGGAGGTGGGACTGAGATGCACTTACATAACTTGGGCTGGGCGGTGCTGGCCACACCTGGGAGGTTGTGGCCACTCAATTAATTGTATAAAAAGCAGATAGCTTTTGTGAACTTAGTGACTCTCGAAAGATGCAGCTTCTGCTATAGGTAATTACAGGCATGCTATTTTGGTTAGATAACTTTATGGGCAACAGCTGGGTAACTGGAGAGATCGTCCTGGGGGCTTCTTTCTCTCCTCCTTCCTCTCTTTTGGGTTTGTTCATTTTGTTGACTTCCTCTTGGTAATAAATATTGGCTTTTGTTGAGCTTTCAACGGTGTCATGGTTTCAGCTTCAGTATGTTCTGAACCCTCCCTAATACATATGTCATATGATAGATGCGACGTCAGAGAGGACCTGCGATGTCGCAGGGAGGATGTGATGTCACTGGAAGGATGTAATGTCACAGGGGAAAATGTGATGTCACAGGGGAGCTGTGATGTCATAGAGGAAAATGTGATGTCACAGTGTACTGTGATGTCACAGATGAGGATGTGATGTCACAGGGGAGCTGCGATATCATAGGAGAACTGTGATGTCACAGAGGAGGATGTGATATCACAGGGGAGCTGTGATATCATAGGAGAGTTGTGATGTCACAGAGGTAGATGTGATACCACAGAGGAGGCTGTGATGTCACAGGGGAACTGTGATGTCACAGAGGAAAATGTGATGTCACAGGAGAGCTGTGATGTCATAGGAGAGCTGTGATGTCACAGAGGAGGATGTGATCTCATAGGAGACATGCGATTTCACAGAGGAGGATGTGATGTCACAGGGGAGCTGTGATGTAACAGAGGAGGATGTGATGTTACAGGGAGTTGTGATGTCACAGAGGAAGATGTGATGTTGCAGAGGAGGATGTGATGTCACAGACGAGGATGTGATGTAACAGGGGTGGATGTGATGTCACAGAGGAGGATGTGACGTAACAGAAGAGGATGTGCTGTCTCAGGGGATCTGTGATGTCAGAGGAGAGCTGTGTTGTCACCGAGGTGGATGTGATGTCATAGGAGACATGCGATGTCACAGAGGAGCTGTGATGTCACAGAGGAGTTGTGAGGTCACAGAGGAGGATGTGATGTCATAGGAGACCTACGATGTCACAGAGAAGGATGTGATGTCACAGGAAAGCTGTGACGTCACAGCAAAGGATGTGAGGTCATAGGAGACTTCTCATGTCACAGAGGAGGATGTGATGTCACAGAAGAGGATGTGATGTCATAGGGAACTGTGACGTCATAGAGGAGCATGTGATGTCCCAGGGAGCTGTGATGTCCCAGAGGAGGATGAGATGTCACAGGAGACCTGTGATGTTATAGGAGAGGTGGATGTGATGTCATAGGAGACATGCGATGTCACAGAGGAGCTCTGATGTCACAGAGGAGCTGTGAGGTCATAGAGGAGAATGTGATGTCATAGGATACCTGCGATTTCACAGAGGAGGATGTTAAGTCGCAGGAGAGCTGGGATGTCATAGAGAAGGATGTGATGTCATAGGAGACATGCAGGGTCACAGAGGAGGACGTGATGTCACAGGGTAGCTGTGATGTCATAGAGGAAGATGTGATGGAACAGGGAAACTGTGAAGTCTTAGAGGAAAATGTGATGTCAAAGGAGAGCTGTGACATCACAGATGAAGATGTGATGTCACAGGGGAGTTGTGATATCATAGGAGATCTGTGGTGTAACAGCGGAGGATGTGATATCACAGGGGAACTGTAACATCAGAGGAGAGCAGTGATGTCACAGAGGAGGATGAGTTGTCACAAGAGACCTGTGATGTTACAGGAGAGCTATGATGTCACATAGGAGGATGTGACATCACAGGAGAGCTGTGATGAGGCAGGAGACATGTGATATCACAGAGGAGGATGTGATGTCACAGGGGAGCTGTGGTGTCACTGAGGAGGATGTGATGTCATAGGAGACATACAATGTCACAGAGGAGGATGTGATGTCACAGAGGAGGATGTGATGTCACAGAGGAGCAGATGATGTCACAGAGGAGGATGTGGTGTCACAGGAGAGATGTGATGTTTTAGGAGAGCTGTGATGTCACAGAGGAGAATGTGATGTCATAGGATACCTGCGATTTCATAGAGGAGGATGTTAAGTCGCAGGAGAGCTGTGGAGATGTGATGTTATAGGAGAGCTGCTACATCACAGAAGAGGATGTGATGTCATAGGAGGCCTGCAATGTCACAGAGAAGGATGTGATGTCAGAGGGGAGCTGTGATGTCAAAGAAAAGGATGTGATTTCACAGGAGACATGTGATGTCACAGAGGAGGATGTGATGTAACAGGGGAGCTGGGATGTCATAGTGTAAAATGTGATGTCATAGGACACATGAGATGTCACAGAGGAGGATGTGATGTCACATGGAGCTATGATGTCACAGAAGAGGATGTGATGTCACAGCGGAGACTGTGATGTCACAGGGGTGGATATGATGTGGCAGGGGAGCTGTGATGTTACAGGGAGCTGTGATGTCACAGAGGTGGATGTAATGTCACAGAGGAGGATGTGATGTCACAGAGGAGGATCTGATGTCACAGGGGAGCTGTGATGTAACAGAGGAGGATGTGATGTTACAGGGAGCTGTGATGGAAGTGTGTCCAGAGGCAGCCCAGTTCCAGGCTGAAGCAAAAAGTCAGAGCGGGTGATGCGGGAGCTGCTCCAGCGCCTACCACAGCCTCCGGCCCAGTGGGAGCAGCCCGGGCCCTGCCCTGGGGTGCCCTGAGGCGGGGCAGTGCCCACTCCCGCCGGCCGCCCTCACAAGGCCCAGGCCGCCTCCTTCCCACAAGGCCCAGCAGGGCCGCCCTCACTCCTGCCCCGCCCTGCCCTGTCCCGCCTGGCCTCACCCTGCACCGTGGCCTATGTCACACCCCACGCTGACGTGCTGAGCCTTCCACCTGCCGTTGTGACACCACAGGCACCAGTCGGGCACGGCCTTGTTGGTGCCCGGAGCCGGCGCTCAGAGCTGCTGTAGCCTCTCGGGGAGCAGCAGCACATCCCGCTCAGGGAGCATTGCGCGCCTGCATCGCCGTCTTGGCAGCTGCAGGCCACGACCGCTGCACAGGGCGACCTCGTTTGCCTTGTGCTTTCTACCCTGTGCCCTTCCTTATTCTCGTCCTTGTCCCCTTTGTCACCCTCACCCTTAACCTTGCCCTTGTCCCATTCATCATCCCCACTTGGCTCCCGGCAGCCCGCCGGGGGCTTCTTGCACTTCCTGCTGCTGGGAGCTCCAAGCAGGGCCATGCCGTGGCTTCTCAGCAAGAAGTGATGGCAGTCGCCCTCCAGCAACCCCAGTGGGCAGCCCTGGGCTGCCACCAGCTCCAGCAGCACCTCCCAGCTCTGGGAGGAGGGGCTGGGCAGGCTGCACCACGCGGCCGCCCGCGGCGACCTGACCTGGTTGAGGTGCTGGCGCTGGTATGTGAAGGTAGTCGGCATCGACAGGCGAGACCAGGAGATGCGGTGACTTCTATGGGATGCTGATGGCACACCTTGGCTGCTTCTGAGCCAAGCTGCAGTAGTCCTCGGCAGCCCTCTCTTAAGGACAAGGCTTGAAAAGTGACATTTGCCCTGTCAGCTGGGAGAGGGAACTCTTGAGCTTTTCACTGCTTGGAGCTGCCGGCCGGGCTCCAGCGCTGTTGCAAACGCGTGTTGCCAACCTGCCGCTTGGCCGTAGTCTCTCTGCAGGGCTGTTCTGCAGCTGCTCAGCTCTCACCTCTTCTCTTCTGCCCTCTGGCTAATCAGCACAGGGTTGCAGCAGCAGCAGAGAGCAGCAGAGAGCAGCTAGCGGGAGGAGCAGAGTCTGGGCAGGGTCCCCAGGGTGCTGGGTAGAGGCACAGCTTTGGCTCATCCTTTGCCTGTCTAGGCTAAGAGCGTATGTTTAACTTTCAGGACACCTCTGCATCTCGCTTCGGCCAATGGCCATGCAGATGTCGTTAGATATCTGCTAAGAAAGAACAGCCAGCCCAACCTCTCTGACAGCTTCAAGAGAACGACACTGATGGTGTGTGGAATGCCTTCTGAGCTTGGAGGTGGGGCTTAGTGCTGGTGTGTTAAAGGGGAGGTGTCTGGCAGGATTCCTTACATCGCTGGGCCATAGAAACATGCATATTGCAATTGGCGTGGCATAGGCCTCTGTTAGCTAATCTTTGAAGATTAGCTTCTGTCCTAGCGTTCAGGAGCTGAGGAAGTTGTGACAGAGGGGGATGGAAAAGTTGGAAGTCTTTCCCTTTTCGTCTGTTGTTCCCAGGCAGTCCAGCAGGAGCAGGAAGAATGTATTGCTATTCTGCTGGAACACGGTGCCGACCCCAATCTGGCAGACACTGACGGCAACACTGCCCTTCACCTGGCTGTCCTCTCTAAAAATACAGCTGTAGCAGGGCTGTTACTCGAGCATAATGCCAATAGTGATGCTCAGAACCAGGTAACCTTGGCACGTGGGGAAAGCTGCTCTTTCAAGCATCTGCAGAGCTTCTCTGTGTCTTTCTAATGGCGATTATTTGTCCTTTTAGTGGGGATTTACTCCCTTCAAACTTGCAGCCCTCCAACAGCATGAGGAGATTCTGGAGTGCCTTCTGAAAAAAGCAGCTGACAGGCATGCTCAAACCCAATGTGAAAGGTGAGGGGTTTGTCAAAACAGCACACGGGTCTTCTGGGTAGCCTCCAAGCCTGACTGAGACGAGGGGCGTGACAATGAGCTGGGAAAAAGAAGGAGCAGCCCCGTGGAAGCAGTTCCCCGTGGAACTGGTAAATGCAGGTCTGCACTTGGCTACTCTCGTACCTCAGGGGCTCTTGTCCTTTGCCCACTGAGGTCTGCAAGAAAGCCTTGTCTGTGGTGCCCTCTCCCCACACAGACCCAGAGCCAGCAGGAAACTTGCCAGTAGCTCAGCAGCGTGGCTGCTCTGCAGGAGAGGGAGGTTTAAGCCAAGGCAGAGTTGATGCGTTAAGTGCTCTGAAGGGAAGCATTGGGAGAAAGAGAAGCAACACTGTCCCAGGGGACACGAGAGGCTCCAACCGCACAGAAGGAGAAAACTTCCTGCCATGGAGATGGTCAGGGGGTCGAAGGGCTTGCCCTGGGAGTTTGTGCAGCCGCATCTGTGGGGACTTTGAAGAGCAGTGCAAAGAGCCCTGAACAGCATGGCCTGAACTTGTAGCTGAGGCTGCTTTAGGGAGGCCCCTTCTAAGATAAAATCTCCAATGTTTCCATGTACTTGGCTTCGCTTTCACGGAGCTTGTAGGAAAGGGGGGAAGAGCTGTTTTGGGAGCAAGCAGGGGAAAAATGAGGCGGGATCAGACATGTTTCCGTGAAATTTTGGATGCTTTAGGACTGCTTTTGTGGTTCCTGGAACCCATGAGGCTCACCTGGAGGAAGATAATCTGCGCTTGCAGGAGGAGTTGGACAGGGCTGAGCCGGAGGTATGGAAAGCCTGTCCCCACAGGGATAAACCTGGCAGTGCCTGTTGCTTCCTACCCATCATGAAAATGGACAAACCAGTATTCTGGCATCCTCTGCTTCTGCTCAGGGGCTGCTGGGTGCCTCTCTCTGCACCACAGTTCGGGTCTTTCCCACTTCAGAAAACTCCCCGTGCTCCCCTGGTGCAATCCTGGGCTCCTGAGCACATGTGCCAGAGCACTTGGCCTCTGACACTTGCCAGACACCTTCCTTTAGGGAGATGGACTATTTCACTCATCTTTTCCTGGAGTAGCAAGCAAGGGAATACAAGAAGTGTCCCAGGTCACAAAACAGGTCGGAGGGGCAGTGTCTGTGCTTAGAACTGAGCTGTAGGAAAGCAGTGGAGGGATGGGAGAGGCTGCTGTAACAGAGGACAAAGGCATCCAGCTTGTGTCCATTGGGGAGCAGAAGTGAAGCTTTGAAGGGACTTGAATGGATTGCAGTTCTTTGGGCAGAGGGGATGCACACACACATGCAGCACCTGAGTTCTTCAGCAGCAGCTGGCTCCTCTCTGGAAAAGCTCACCTGACAACTGTGCATTCTTCCCGTGATTTTACAGCTGCAGGAGGAGGAAGAAAAGCATCTTCAGTCCGAGCATCGTGTTGGTGACTTGAAGACTGCCTTGGATGATAAAGAAAGAGAAGCAAGAACTTCTTCCCAGAAACTGCAGGACCTCCCGTTGGCATCTTCCGAGACCAATCCGACCGTAAAACAACTGGAAGAAGACGCGCAACAGTAAGAGAGTAACCCAGTGAAGTGAGGGGTCTGTGGCTTTGGGGGACTGGGTGGAAACAAGGGGAGAGTCAGTGGGATTTTGAAGGACACTTCTGCTGTGGCTTCTATTCCTTAGCACAGTTTGTCTGGCATTGGCTTTTCTGGGAATAAGACCTGTATTTCTTCTTAAGCTTTGCAAGTGGAAACAGCAGATTGGAAGCCACTGTCCAGCAGCCAAGCAACAGCGCTGAAGCCCTTCCGAGAGACCTGCAAGCCTCTGCCTCAGTAAGCTGGTCCTAAATGTCCCTTTTTGTGACTCTTGAGCCTAGTTGCCTGTTTCTGTGGGGAAACTGTAAGAGGAAGTTTTCCTGGAGAGCCTGGGGAGCTCAGTTTCTGCCTTCTCCTCAGCAGAGGCTGCTCAGAAAGCAGCCTGCTCCTTTGCCCAGCTGCTACAAAAGCCCTGAGGGTATTTGCTGTGCTGGACACTGGAGGAGATCTTAGATTCTAAATGAGGAGTTTCATCCTGAGCTCCAAGGGACCCAGAAGTATTGCTGCCAGAAGTGTCTCCCAAATTCTTAAGTAAGTCTAAAGTTCCTTCTTTCTGTTGGGGAATCTTTCAAGTGTTTTCTAGGCTCGTTTCCAGTAGATGATAAATACAGTTGCCATGGCCACCCCCTTGAGAGCTTTTCCCAGATTTCACTGCCTTTAGATCATGCTGAGTTCCCTTTTCTTTTTTTTCTTGCTGTGTCCAGGGTGGTGAACTTTCCCAGCAGCTGGACATGGAACCTAACACAGGCATGCAGCCAGAAGCCCAAAAGCAGGCTTTGCAGGAAGAGCTGTCCGCTCTGCTTGGGAAGTGTGAAAAACTGGAGAAGAGCCAATGCCAGCTGCAAGAAGAGGTGACAAAACTCCATCATCATTTGGAGACTTTGGGGCTGGATGGCAGCGAAACAGAACAATGGAAAAGAGAGGTGGAAGAAGGAGCTGACCAGGAAATAAGTCCAAAGCACAACACACACTGCTCATGTGCCTCAATATGCTGTCCAGGGACTTCAGTTCCCAGAATGCTTCCCTCCCTATTCTCGGGACACGTCCCCACATCCTGGAATTCTGGCATGGCAGGCCTGGAGCACTCAGTGGGCATTTCTTGAGAGCTATGGTGAGTCCCACCTGCTTGGGCTAGGATCCCACTTCATCCTGAGCCTCATTTCATGGAAGTGTGTCCAGAGGCAGCCCAGTTCCAGGCTGAAGCAAAAAGCCAGAGCGGGTGATGCGGGAGCTGCTCCAGCGCCTACCACAGCCTCCGGCCCAGTGGGAGCAGCCTGGGCCCTGCCCTGGGGTGCCCTGAGGCGGGGCAGTGCCCACTCCCGCCGGCCGCCCTCACAAGGCCCAGGCCGCCTCCTTCCCACAAGGTCCAGCAGGGCCGCCCTCACTCCTGCCCCGCCCTGCCCTGTCCCGCCCGGCCTCACCCTGTACCGTGGCCTATGTCACACCCCACGCTGACGTGCTGAGCGTTCCACCAGCCATTGTGACACCACAGGCACCAGTCGGGCACGGTTTTGTTGGTGCCCGCAGCCGGCGCTCAGAGCTGCTGTAGCCTCTCGGGGAGCAGCAGCACATCCCGCTCTGGGAGCATTGCGCGCCTGTATCGCCGTCTTGGCAGCTGCAGGCCACGACCACTGCACAGGGCGACCTCATCTGCCTTGTGCTTTCTACCCTGTGCCCATCCTTATTCTCGTCCTTGTCCCCTTTGTCACCCTCACCCTTAACCTCGCCCTTGTCCCATTCCTCATCCCTACTTGGCGCCCGGCAGCCCCCTGCAAAGGGGCTTCTTGCACTTCCTGCTGCTGGGAGCTCCAAGGGGGGCCATGCCGTGGCTTCTCAGCAAGAAGCGACGGCAGTCGTCATCCAGCAGCACCAGTGGGCAGCCCTGGGCTACCACCAGCTCCACCAGCGCCTCTGAGCTCAGGGAGAAGAGGCTGGGCAGGCTGCACCACGCGGCCGCCCGCGGCGACCTGGGCTGGCTGAGGTGGCAGAGGCAGGGACACTGAGCCAGGTCCCTGCCCCACGCAGCCCCTGCTGCCCCCCCAGCCCCTCGCCTCCCCAGCTGGGGGCCCAGGCCCTCAGCAGGCAGCTGGCTGTCCCCACCAATCATCTCTCCCGCTTCAGGCGGGCGCTCGGGGCTCTGCGCAGGCTGTTCCGCTCCTGCACGGCGGGACAGCCCCAGGATTAGGCCCCGCTCCAGCGCCAGGCCAGGTCCAGACACCTCTTAACTGCTTACAACAGAGACACTGACTCCACCACTGACCTGCGACACTTATTCCGATACTCAACTACTCCTGCAGGGAATGAGCACGACAGGACATTTTGCTCCCAGAAACTCCCTGCAGGATGACAACAAATATGATTATTTTAAAACAAACCAAAGATTGGTTAAGTCAGGCAGCTAATTTATGTAATTAAGCTAGTTATGTAATTAATTAATTGAATTATAATCATTATAATATATCTTTATAATATTTAGGTAGATTTATTAGGAAGATAGACTTACATAAGATAGATAAGACTATATTTAAATATCATAGTAAAAATATTTATAGGACATAGAGATAGGTTCTTTCAGTTAGATGATAAGAATTATAGAAGACAGAAGATTAGAAAGATTTATTGTTAAATAAAATCTGTATTACGTAAAATCCACCTACTGTCACCAAATGGTCTCATTTACACCTTAATTCGCGCTGAGGCGTCTCTCCCTAATGGGATCAGAACACATGGGCAGGGACACCTTCCACCACACCAGCTGGCTCCAACCCTGTCCAACCTGGCCTTGGACACTTCCCACGGTGGGGCAGCCACGGCTTCTCTGGGCAACCTGGGCCAGAGCCTCACCTCCCTCACGCCCGGTGAGCATCCATCGGCAGCGCGGTTCTGGCAGCTGGCACCAAGCCCCGGCACCGGGTTCTGTGCGTGTGACGCCGGAGAGGCGACGGGAGACACGGGGAGGGGACTTCTCGACCTCCCCATCAGCCCTGGCCCTCAGCACACTCTCCCTCAGCCACTGTTGTCCATGCCCTCGCCCTCAGCCCTCACCCTCAGTGTCCTCGCCCTCAGCCATCGCCCCTCAGCCCTCAGCCATTGCCCTCACCCCCCAACTCCCTTTGAAATCCAGCCCGGGGCTCGCCCCGGCCTCACACAGGGAGCTGCCGCGCTCCAGCTGTTGCTCAGCACTGGGTGGGGATTTGTGCTCACCCCAGGGCTGGGGGTTTGCAGCTGCTCTTTCATTCTATTTTTAGAGCCTGCCTGTGAAGAGAAGCCCCCCAGGAGAGCAGAGCCCGCTGCAGGAGCCAACATCCTCACCCTAACCAAGGGATGACACAGCACTTAGTGCTGCAAAGATTGGAGCTGTTCCCAGGCCACAAAGAAAGCTGAAACTGCTCCACTTGGCATTTGCTTGCCCATCTCGCTCTAAAATAACATCCCAAGATGTCAGGAGTCAAGACAATGACTTAGATTGAGGTGGACTGTGCTGGGGAGTCTTTTAAACCCAGCCTCCTGCCTGACCTCACTGCTGCTGCAGTTGCATGGACAGTGCTTGGAGTCTTTCAGTTGGATTCATATGTTTCCTAGAACGTTCCCGTTTCTTGGTTTGCTCTTCAGTGGAGATAAGGATGTTCTGCTAAGTGATAGCTCTCCTCCAGTCTTTTCTTCAGCTCCAGAAATGGAGCACTTGGGTGAGAAGAGAGAGTTCTGAAAAGTAGCCCTTGGAATGGAAACAGTGAGTCAACAGGCAATGTCTAATGTTGTTCTTGGTCCAGAAACTGGACTGGACCAGGTGCTTCTGGATGATACAGGTTGGAACAATCTGGAATGCAACAGTTTGGGAACACAGGATAATCAGTCATCCCATGAAAACCTTGGAACATTCCCTACCTGAATCGTAACCCAAATTGAACACTTTTGGATACAATTCCCAAATAGTTTGGAAACTCCAGTCATTTCTGAGATGAGGATGGAAATTCAGCAGATGACTAAAGCCAGTCCCCTTGTGAACCCACACCCAGCGGGGCTGAGGGAGGCCCTGGCAGCTCCCCAGCACCTCCCTCTCAGTGGGACACCTCTGGCAGCCTCTCCCAGCTCGGGAACCCTCCAGTTTGCAACACTCCAAAGATCGTCGCTGATGCCCAGGACAATTCTGATCCCCCTCCACAAACACTCCTCCAGCTGGGACCCTTGTCTAGTGGGAAGCACAAAGGGATTTGTGGCAGTGTTTCCCTGACAAGCAGGAGAATTTGGGAGAGGCACCTTTCTACACCCAGCTATTGATGTGTGCACACATCTCTGCCTGGGTGCGGGGGTGAATTGACTGTGGGGTGAATGTTGTTCTTGGGAATCTCTAATTCAATCACTGTTAAAATTGTACCAAATGCTATTGAATCACTTGATAATTGTTAAACTGGTCAATAATTAAATGCTGCTAATCTCTTTTGCCCCTTTATCTTTGTGTCCAAATCCTTTGGGCCCTGACCCTCTGGCATCCCAAGGCTCTGTGGAAATCACTCCCTTTCATCAAAAATATATTTTCCATGAATTCTGCTTTAAAATCTTCCTCCTTAGCTAAACTACAAAGCAACTCTAATTAGTTGTTGATGTCTTGAAGATTTGAAGACAATTAAAGGCAAAGAAAGAATTTGTTTTTCTGTGTTTTAATGAGCTCCATGGTGTGTTTAGAGAAAAGTCCATCATCCTCAGGTACTGAGAGAAGACTGAAGAAGCTGCTGAAGAAGTCAGAAGCCAAACTCCAAGTCCCTTGAAGCATTGCTGGGCCCCACTGAGGGCAGGCACTGACAAAGCCTCCCCAGGGACTCCTTGGAGCAGCTCCTTGGAGGCCAGGAGTGCAGGCAGACAAAGGCTCTGGGCAGGCCCCTGCAATGCTGAGCAAAGCTGCCAGAGGCAAGGGGACAAAGGTCTGGGTGCCTTTGGGCCTTGCAGCCCTGCCAGAGCCCTTGGCCATCTCTCCTGCGGGCTGTCCTGCCCTGGCCCTGCTGCTGCTCTGGCCTTGCAGGCTGCACACACCCCTCCTGCTTTCCCACCCCCTCCCAGCAGCATTTCTAGACCCTCCCTGATGTCTCGGCACCAGCTCTGGCTGTTGCCATGTGCACTTGGCCTTCTGAACTTGGATCCTGAGCCCCTGTGCCACAGGACATCCCTCCCAGAGCCCAGGCCCTTCTCCTGGGGGTCACTGCAGAGCTGAGCAGATCCAGGTCACCTCCCATTCCTCTGCCAACCCCCTGGGCCTGCTCTGGGCCCTGCAGGTCCTTGCCCTGCTCCCAAGGGCTGGGGAGGTGCTTAATGGTCAGGGCTTGGGCTTTAGAGCTCAGGCTGGGGATGAGGCAGAACTTTGGGAGGTTTGTTGTTCTGCTGGTAGTGTCTGCTTCATGATTAGGGGAAGAGCTTTTTGGGCTGGGTTAGGATTAAAGCTTGGCTTTTCATACTGGTACTATAGGTTTGGGAATGGGGTGGGCATTGGAGTACAAATAAGAGCCTGGAGTTCTGGGTTTGGGCTTTTTCTGCCTTGGAATGAGAGCAGTGGATTCCTTTCAGTGGGAGGGGCAGCACTTTGGGTAGTGTTGGGGTTTGAGGTTACAAAGAGGGTTAAGGTCTATTAAGAATGTTTGCACAGTCAGTGTTTCAGCACCCTCAGCATTTCCTGAACCCGGTTTTACCTCATAAAAATCTTTCCTGTCTGTTGGCCAAGCCCCTCTTTCCTTCCCGAAATATCCAATCCTTTTTTTCCCAGTTCCGCCTAATCTCCCCCAAACTTTCATCTGGGTGGGATCAGCTTTGTGATGACAC